TGAACTAGTCTCAGTATATCTACCACAACATGGTGCATCCTCACTAATTGGAATGCCATCTTTATCCGATATGTTTTTTAATAATTCGCTGCGTTCAAGTGGAGGTTCATGTTCACCTTTGTATACTCAAATTACTTCTAGTTTTTACACAAAATGTCTATTACTAAACTATTACCAATACCCTTTGCATTCGTTTGACTTCGTTCCTCAAATTACTCAAAAGAGAGCTTCATCTTTAGTTAATAACTAGACTGTGCACAGGGTAATTACCAACACTCTGTTATGCCTATTTCACGATTGCAAGTTGAAGATTTTGTAGGTTCACTTAGAATTATCTAGAAATGGTTATCTATGTTGACTTTGTCTCGTCAATTTTTTGCCTCACCTGTGGTGAGAGGCAAGCTATTTTTAGCATTGATGTTGCAATTCTTGTATTCTGAAACATACTGATGAGTACTAAAAACAAGTTCTATGGTAAAAGAGATAAAATACAATATAATATTCTGAGTCAAGAAGTTTATGGAGATTAAAAAAGTAGATAAAATGATTCTACCTCCCTCCAAAAAAATCTCAAGTTCCGTCCCTTATCTACATCTACTTTCACTTGACTTATTACTCCAGAAAGCCATGAAACATCAGAATTGAAGAATGAGACAGAAGTCGGAATCTGCATATAGTGGATGTACGTCATAGTTCTAATACAACCCTTAGTAATTAGTTCTACAATGTGACTTGAATACCTAATAACATGATTACAAATTGTGCACTACAGCCAAGTGCAAAACCTTTTTTTGCTAAATCCATAGGGATCGACAATTAAAAAATTGTGCTGAGTAAATAAAGTAGGGGGGGGAGGTACTATGGGTACATGAGGGTATGATAATGGATTAGGAACCTGAGGAGTGGTATTTGTTCAAAAAAGAGTATTTGCATACTAGGGTCACTTTATATTTACAAAAGATCTACAAGATCTTTGATGAGTTAATTCTGACCACATCTCATGACTATGAGAGATCTATTCTAGTAGCAGGATGTCTATGAAATAAACATCTTTGACTTTTGTTTTATTCCATAAACATATCCAGATGGTTTGTTGAATTCATGTTTTTCTTTTATACTATAGTATTCATTTGAGATTTGTTGATTTGTTTCCTCACGTTTAAAAGTAAACAACTCCATTTGTCAATAACCTCAAGTTGTTTTCTGCCAGTATTCATTTGAGAATATGCTCTCTCTATCAATATTCATTTGAGATTGCAGACTCTGGCTCCCAGTGTCACATAAATGAAATAAAATGATCACATCATTGGATGCTTGAATTGAACTTATTTTTTTATTATTCATTTGAGATTTTAGATTTTTCAATATAAAGAGCGGAATGATATCTTGGAACAGATCTCTTAATTATGAGGTCATTGTTAATAATAAAAAATACAAAAATGATTTTTTGTTGCGAGATCACTAAATTGTACTCCAAATAGAATCAATCAATACACTTGCGTGTATTTACAACCTGCAATTCTCACTCTATTACCTCAAGCAAAATACATGAATATCAGGCAAAATAGAAATATGGGGTCTTTTTTCCAGTTAATGGTAATTTGTATTCATTATTAGGATTACTTACTACACGATGGCTATCATCTTGTTATGTCAAAAGTATTAATTAAAGGGCTCACATTCTTAGACTCATAACATCTTTTTGTTTCGCCTGAAACAGGGCTGAGAAGAAATGAGATGTCATGGTTTATCATGATTAGGGCCAGAATGTGAATCTTTCAATATCTTTGAGTTTAAGGGGAAATTAAAGTAGGGAGAGGGGGGGGGGGCTATGAGGATTAGGACAATTGACAGAAGAAGGGCCTCAAAAACAACCTCTGGAGAAGATTGCATATATGCATGCAGATTATGTGGCTTCTAAAATGCAAATCAACATTCTGAATTTTTGTTACATATTTCAATATATTTTCATCAAATTGGGAGATGGCATGGGAGGGGAGACCAAAAGGGGGGGGGGTGTTAAACCATGATAAAATTATCTGAAATTTCCACAACCATCAATATATGGGCTGCTTTCATGTTTTGGGATATAACATTGATGAAATGCCTAAAATTAGATGTTGCTCCAGACTAAGGCCCACATTGCCTCCTTTTGTTTGGGAAGGTCATGGCGCTCATCGAAATGTACGTGACATACCTTCGACAAGTCAATATGCCTTACATGGATTGTTTTTTAAACTCATTGGGCTTTATCATTGTCACATTAATGAACTCCACGATTATCTTGAGATAACAGATGATTACTGACCATTTGGGAGCATTGAAAGTAAATCATCATTATTCATCAAATCATCAATAAATTCACCAAGGGATCCAATAACAAACCAAACATCATTGAAGGTCGCTGTGACCTAAGAATGATTACATCCATCAAACTCAACAATAGACAACAAAGTAGGCTTAGCAGAATCTTAGAGCATTACTTCTACCAAACAACTGATCAATTTAGCTGTGTCTATTGATTAGCCCTTGAAAAAAATTAAGATTGGTATATGCCTTTTTACGCATTTTCTCTCTTAAGTTTGAAGGAACTTGCCTTAATTGTTTTCATTTTGTACAATTTAGAGTGTTGACTACACACCTCTCTATTTAATTCCTCGCTGATTTCACTCTTTTTCACCCTACTTTGCATTTCAAAACCCAACCGTCATGTATTATTTCTCACAGTGAGACTTTGATATATAATGATATCACCAGTTCATGTAATTATATGGTAGTCATGTTTTAAAACGCAAAATACGACAAAAAAGAGAGAAATTACTCAAAAATAAAATAAACACACATGTAGTTGACACTCTAAATTGTATAAAAATGCTAAAAAATCTGACACTTCATTCAAATTCTAGAGAGAAAATCCAAGAAATAAGCATGATTAAATTGCTGTTTTTCCTCCGGCAATTAGCAGAAGACTGCTTGGTATTCCAAGGGGAGAGCAGCAATGATTATCCACCATCAACAAACAGTGAGATAACACACTTGGATTTATAGCATGCACAGGATAGATAGCAAAACAAGAAGTGGGGCTTTGATAAAGTAAAAGTAAACTAAGATATTTCATTCTGTTCAGATAATACAGGTAGAAGGTCAGTTTCATCATATGAACTATGCATCCATTTTATTAACTAGGTACGACTTGGGAAACAATTTTCTTTAAGAATATGACATTTTCTGAAGGATAAGAAGTTTGATTGAGGAATTGTCAGGTAAGTGTATAATTTTTAATGTACCTGATACAGGTAAATATGATAATCTGATCAGATACCATTGGAAAGATAATAAATCAGTAATACACTGTTGGACATTTAATAATTGTTATATAAACAATATGAGTAAAATATCCACCATGGAAATTATATCTGAATATTTATAATGTCATAATCATGAGCTAACCATTTTATGTAACCAATAATTTACATACTCCTAAATTATTGGTTAAATTTTCCATGTTTCTCTAATTGTATACAATAATCACATCATTGTGTACAGAACACCTCTATACGTGCACACCTTTCTACAATGAACACCTTGAAGTCGGAACATTTTAAGGTCCCATTCTATTTATTTTATTTATTTTCTAGTGATTCCCATGTTAACACCTCTTTATTCTAATATTACACAAATATTGAATTCTGTATGCCTGTATATATTTCTTCGCATAATGTGTACACTATAACTTATTGTAAGAACCTTTAACAAAGTCTATAAGCTGTTTATAGGTTTTACTGTAAATGTAACTGGTAATTTACACATACGTCATCAGCTTGACTATAAATAAATCAGAATCACAAGCCCAACTAGACATATAATGGGATTAATATAGGACTATTCTACCATTTAGAAATCATAATCTTGCTTTAGACATACATTTTATATACTACAATGGTTTGAGTTGATTTAAATCCCCATTGAGGTCACAAAGGTTGGACATTGAAAAGGCCAGGCTAAGTGATAATAAGATATTGATAAAGTTCAATGGACAGAGTTAGACTTAGAGAATTTATGTTTAAATACATCATCAAAGGCATATATTGGTTTCATTGCTGTTTTGAAATCACTCTGGTTGTCGCCCGATACAATTATAAACAACTAAGAACTCGTACTTGAAATCTAAGTTATAGCAAGTTTTAAATAATATATGGATTAAATACAATTTTAGGAATATTGTTACATTTTCAAGATTTAATAAAAAGTTACTGAAGTTCTACTGTGGCTGTATAAATATTACTACAAAGGATTTAAGGAGGATATGGTGCTATTTTTCATTATCAGGAAAAGAAAATATTCATTCTAAACAAGCAAGAATATAAAGGAGCTCTAGAAGCAGTTAAATATAAGGTATATAGATAGAAAAACATGTAAATTAAGATTTAAGATTTCTGGTATAAAGTAGCTAATTTTTGTTAAAGAAATGCTTTACATTCAATTTATTTTTAAGTTAAATTATTTGATCAGAAATAGATGATGTTGAAAATGTGTTTTTTTTGTTTTTTTAATTGCCAAACATAGTTGTATTTTATGAAAGTTCATGTTTTCAAACCTTTGGAGGGGAGCGTGTGACTTCTATCAGTAGTTCTTGTGTCAGTCAGCTATTTTGTTGGTATTCCCAATATTTCAACAACATTACTCACATGCTGTTTGTATGTACCAAACTGCAGGAACATGAGGCTTCTGCCTGAATGCTGGAATGTATGCTTTTACCTGAGTCGTACACATAGCTTTTCCCTGAATGCGTGCATGAGGCTTTTGAGTTTCATAATTGTCAAATATTATTTCCTTAAAAGATCCTCAAAATTGGAAATGTCAATTTAGGCGTTTCAATTTTAAATAATTTCTCAAATTTTTCAGAATGCACAAAGGGCAACATCTAAACTTAACATTTTTCAAAGGCATACCAAGTACAATTACTATAATTAAAAAATGATTTTATTCTGTATTTTCAGAATGCTGTTCAGAGTAAAAAAGAGGTTGAAATGGCTGGAGATACTGGGTGTACAACACAGAAAAGAACAGATAGCCAATTCACCGTGGAGATGGGCATTTAGGACTTGTTTAATTATAACATTTATAATAGGCACAATTTTATATCATCAAGCAGCACCAGATAACATTAATATACATAATTCAGGTGAGTTTGTTTGTTTGCTTGCTAAATGTATTCTGTTGTTTGGTAAAATATAAGCCATGATCTGGTTTTATGAAGAGAGATGGGGGGAGGTGAAATTTGCAAGGGAAAGGGTCACTTTTGCCAATGATGTGTTAAAAAAGAAGTGATAGAAAAATAAAATATCTTATACCTCCCATCAAATAGCATCTTGATTCACAAGGTTTCAATTGTTCCGACCAAGTGGAAAGCGACGATTAAATTGAGTGATAATTTCTTTAAGTGCCAACGACATCATTAAATGCAGGATACTTGTAAAAGATGTTGCGACTTAATGATCTGTCAATCAATTATGAAGTAACGGTAGCAACAATTCTTACATACTTCACAACCTGACTTTCCAACTGCGACAAAATCTAAGAATTGAATTATCCAATCATCAATACAACAAAACCTGCCAACGATTCCTTTGGTTACCATGGTGATGTTATTTTAAAACCTGTGGCTGAATTAAAAGGACTACAGTGTTATTTAGCAATTTCCGATTTAACATCATGTAATTTATCATGCTGCAATTACCATGGCAACCAGTAATGAATTTGAATAAAACGAAGAAATCTGACTCGCCAAATAAGCAAAAATCACCCCCTGCATTAAACTGCTTAATTAATCACACCTTTGGCTTTTGCTAAAGCCAGTTAGTTTATATCTTTAAATTGATAAACAATGATTTGACAAAATTGATTGTCTTGTAGAGATAGTAAAAATCTTCTAATGAAGGCTCGGTAGACAAAAATGTTTGTTTCTAAATGCATGTGTCTGATCGGTTTTCTTTTTTCCTGACCTGTTTTTCTTTAACATTTGTGTTTTCTTTCATTTTAGCTCAATTGTTCTCATTCTTTATGTTCTAGCCACTATTTAGGTAAAATATGAGATTTTCTTGTTGAATGTAATTCAAGTAAAAAGTATGAATCTCCCAAGCAGGCAGCCCTTCACAAATCATAAGAACAAAGAGCTCCCTTGAAAAAAACATCAGCTCGAGATAATTTATTACAAACGAGAGATTCAGATGAATGAACAATAAAATCATAACAAAGTAGATGCAATATATCACATTTTCATTACCATGGAAACTCTAAATAAAAAGTTCAGCTTGAAAAACCATGGATTTTTGAAAAATAGAGAAATGTGAATGAGTTTTTGAAATTTCTTGCACAGGATAAAACAACATACCAGTAATATCTACATCTGGTTTATTTTCTGTAGATTCAACATCTGAGCTGCTCAATGCTGGAATCATTCTCATGCAGCTGTTATCATGCAGCTTCTACTTTTCGCTGTAAAATATCGAACAATGAAATTTTTGTTTAAATATTGGAGTAATTATATCTGATAATTCCTTTTATTCCATAGTTAGCATGATATTCATAGGATAACATGTGAAAATAAAAACGGTATTTTTGAAATCAGTGGTAAAATATGATATTTTTGACAAATTTTCACTTAACCATAGCATACGGTTTTTTAGCCATGACATACGACGTCGTATGCGATGGTTTATGGATTTTTGCTACTTCAGACTCAAAACGAGGCTAAGTGTCAACATCGCCGGATAGTTTGGAAAATTCGAATTAAATGACTTAATTTCCGACGATTCTGATGATGACTTTAACTATGGAATAAAAAGAACATCCTATGATTTACTCGTGATATGATTTTAATCCACTCATGGTTATTGATATCTGCACTCTCTCGCTACGCTCGCTCGTGAAGATATCATATCCATTCGTGGATAAAAATCATATCACTCATAAATCATAGGATATCCTCTATTTATCTTTAGCCGTTTTTGTCTTACGTTTATGACATATTGTGTTGTGACATAAATGGGTTCATAAAACGTGCCATGAATTATTATAAAAAAGTTAATAGTTCGTAAACTGTGAAATGAATTAACATACTCTATACCATATCATTTATGATAGTATATAATTGTGACATAATTAGGGTAGAGTTTCAAACATTTTAAAAGTATTCTTTCATCACTTGGTGCCCAAAATATCATTTATGATATGGCCTTGATTAGAAAATGAAATAAAGTAGGAAAAAGAGGAATCAAGCGCAAAGGAAGCATAAGTGAAGCAATAAGTCCAGCTGCACCTGAATCTTGTGCAATGTACCTATTCGAATATGTGCAGCAACCACCTAAAAACCAATTATCATCCAAAATGAAGAAAACATTTGAAACTGTTTACATTGGCATACATATTCTCACCAATTTTTGTCAAAATTGTGACCACCAAAATTTTGCCCTAACTTCAGGAAAAAACTCTAGGATGACCACTGTAGACATTAAACTGCAAGAAAACTTCTTCATTGATATACATTTTTTAAAGAAAGACTTAAGATATAGAAATTGACACCATGAAGTTTTTTGATAGGTATATATCTGATTTAGCTCTTTAACAACAGTAATGGGTAACAGCATCTTTGCAAAGAAAACGTGACTGAACCTGGAACATTTATTTTCAAAGACCTAAAAAACATAGATAAAAGACATTAATAATAGCATCCAAATCTTTTATTGCCTATTTGGTTTAACCCTGACCAAAGAAATCTAATCTTTGCAATTTATTCGATGTAACTTGCAGGAAGTTTCCAATTGATGCGAGAGATGTGTTTATGGCGGATGTAAAGTGATGAAAATAATTGCATCCTTTAAAGTCTGACGTTTTTTGCTTTCGCTTAATTAATTACCAAGTTGATCCTTTCTCCTTTCTGGTTTATATTTTCTATAAATGTACAACTTTTGAATGAAGTTTACAATCGAAATCTCCCATAATCACTGGAGATTAACTGACAATTAATTGTTAATTAATTGTTCATGTATATTGTAAAATTAATTATGGGCAGTTAGGGTACACCCCCTGGGGTGTCAAAGTCCGAATAATGTTGTAAATTTGTTGAAAAATGAAATTATTTTGAAACTGAAAATTGAAAAAAATAATTGCACTTATCCAAAGGGTAGTGGGGGGGGGGGGTGCTTATTGAGATGTCTCAGAAGATAAGGTTCAAGAGGCTCAGCAAAAACACTGAACAATTGATTTTACATATTCTGCTAAAAGATTATGCCACATATTCTCAAGCGTAAAAAAACTTATGCTAAAAGTGATCCTGAAATATTCACATGGACTTCACCTTAAAAAGTGATCCTGAAATATTCACATTGACTTTACCTTAAAAGGTGATCCTAAAATATTCCAATGGACTATACCTTAAAAAGTGATCCTGAAATATCCACACAGATGGTACCTTAAATGATCCCGAAATATTCAAATGGATATACCAAAGTGATCCTCAAATATTCACATGTACTACACCTTAAAAGTGATCCTGAAATATCCACATGGACTATACCTTAAATGATCCTGAAATATTCACACTATATGGCCTATACCTAAAAAGTGATCCTGAAATATCTACATGGAGACTGTCCAACAAAAACAAGCATTTTTTAAAAAAAATTACCATTTTTAAAAATCTACCTAAATGTAGTAGTCCCTTTAAGAGTCAGAATGTTCATGATTTCATAATCATTGAGGTATTGATCATTTATGTAACTGCACTTTTAGCATCACCAATTGACGTCACACTGATGGCGCTGTTACTTAAAATATATTAAATAGACCTAATTGATTTGCAACAACATTATCTATAAATTGCCCATATATATTACAACTTCATTTACCGAAGGGCAGGCTAGTAACTTTCAACAAAAGGCTCCATTGTTCTTAATATTTAAGTAAAAAATGACAATTTTGAATAAAGAAAAGACAATTTTATTAAAACGCGAAAGATAATTCAAACATTTACATGATGAAATTGGGGTTGATGGACAAGCCCGCAGAGCTTAAAGAGTAATTAGGCATGGATAGCTTAGTTTGAGAACTTCAAAATCTGACATTTAAATTTCCAATATTCTATTTGCTTGAGGACGTCATCAAACTTGCCGGTCAGATGTAAAGTTATTGTTTACCTTATTTCATTACAACTCCATCAAAGTAATCTCGCAGGTAGCATGCTACATAAATATTAAATATACTCTCATTCAATGTGAGCCATAAAAATCTCAGAATTAATCTCACGAAGATCGTCAATATAGGTAGTGAATACAATAATAAAAATTTAATGATTATAACCGTCTCAGTAACCAACGCTTTTCCCTTTCTGCACTATTCATGAATGACCTTTAAAAGCACCAGAAATAGAACATTATTTTGGTCATGGGCTGATTTTTTCCAAGAGATATCTCATTTACTTAGATTGTATCTCCTGATTGAAATCAATGAACCATAACACTCTGCACATAGAATGTAAACTAAAAATACTAATGATCTATATCACCCGTGAGGAACAGTTGATGACTGACATGATTTAAAATGTAAATTCATGTGAAAACTGCAGAAACAGCAAGATAAATAGACATATCCCAAACAGTTGGTTCCCACAAATGAAGCAAATACATTTTAATACCCCATTTAAAATTATCATGGTAAATAAAAAAATAAATTAAATTACCATACAGTATCAAGCTATATTTTTCACTCTACAGAAATAAAAATACATTTCCTGATTAAAAGATTGAGAAAAAGGCTACTGTCTACTGACCCAGCAATGCAGCATATTATGAATACAATATACTATACCATACAGGGTGGGCCAAAATGTTGAATTGTACACTGTTATAATAAGGGTAATATTTTTGGCCCACCTTGCACCTTGTATTATAAGAAACTTCTATTTACTTCTATTTCTATATCTTATAACCGAATTGTAAGCCTCAGACCACTATAAAAAAACAACAACTAAACTATAATGTATCATTTCATAAATAATTATATTTTATATTTTCAGATTTTAGTGCTGCTTCCCGTCATTTATTATCCAGTGAAAGTGGAAGTAATCATACCCTCCCGGAGTGGGAGAAGTGTGATTTTGAGGAGGCTAGCATCAAGTATCTATGGCTGGTTCTCTACATATTACTTGTATTGATTGGCTTCATAGGTGAGTAACATTCTACGTAAAAAGGTGTACTGGTATAATATTGTTGTCAGCTGAGTGGTTGAATGAGAGGTCTGCAAATAGAGTCACACCAATAATGTAATTTTGTACTTCAGCACACTAAAATAATTTGGTGCTAATTTAACACTAAGTTCTTGGTAATATTGTTTCTCAAGTTGTCAATAATAATGTTTTTTGTTCATTTGACATCAGGCCTCTGCAAGAAATAAGTACTGCCTGTAATAAAGTAATAAAGGAATGTAGAATACAGCAGAGAAACCTTTAAGTTACCAGTTAACATGAATAAGGGAAACGGAAAATATGATTTCGATAGTTTCAATTGTATAATTAACCCTACAATCAGGATGGAAAGGTTGAGAAGTCAATTTACATTTAACAGAAACCATCGTTTCAATTTTCAATACAATGTGCCAATCTCATATGCATTAAATCATTAATCAATACAATGATAATGAAAGTAACCATGACAACACAACTGTAAACAGATTCGCCATTATTAATGCTCTATCAGATTTGATTTGATTAATTTGCAGGTAGCAAATTGTGTAATATTTCACTTAATAGAAATCAGTTTCCTGTTGAAGAATAACAATTGTGTAATATTGTTAAATAATCTCTCAGGTAATTATTCTTGTTTCATCAAGACATTGTGTTATGTAATTTTATTAACGACCAATGCAATACCTCCTGGGGATATGGATAGGGGTCTAACCAAGATCTACAAAATAGATGAGACCTTGGGATGAAGCCATCTTAATCTTAGGCGAGGCAAACTTTTAAAGGAGAGGCAAGTTTATAACAAGACCTTGTTTTCTTTTTTAAGGAGAGGCAAAATTAAGTTAAAGGCATCATAATAAGTTTATAACAAGACCTCGTTTTCATACTTTCAACTTTCAATTACACAATCTGAATTGTGATAAGTTAAAACAACAAACTGTTAATAAATTAATATGAATCGTTTCTTTTTTCTAAAGTTTCTGCAAACTTGAAAAGCTAGAAAGCTGCGAATATCAATCATTGGGAATATGTGTAACAGCAATGAATGGGGCAGGATTTATGGTTTCTTAGTACAAAACACTCCACCTTGATCTTTAAGAGGTTTTAAATAACAAAAATATAAACAAAGTAACATGAATGTATATATAGCCTGTTTAGGTCACTGTAGCTGTTTCTATTGTTTTGTACTTTAAAGGTAAATCAAGCCCCATGTATTGCCTTGGTATGCCACACCAATTTATTTTCAAATTACACTGAAAAGTCTAGCTCCACATTATCACAAATTAAATTGATTTAAAATTATCTCATCTTTCATTTTTTGCACTTTGTTGTTTATTTGGTAGAAACATGGAGACAGTATTACATATAACTTAGAAACTACAAACATATCCGAATGTCTCCCTAAAGAGAAACCATATTCCTTCTTTGTCTTAGCTTCATACCATCGATCATTATGTAAATTTAAAAGGTAAATCTGACAAACACATGTACCTTATTTCAAGCATAGAAACATCTGCCCTTTCTACAAATACTTGGATTATGTTTCTATAAACAGTGCATGCATACAGGAAATTTCAAATTCTTTTAAGGACATGAACCTTATACATGTTCTGGGATATCATGTGAATACAAGACTACACTACCCTAAATACATTTGGCAACCCTAGCTGATTCTCCATAATTCTTTTGAAATTAATTTTTTCCTTATGAAAAATGTGATATTTTTTTAAACTGCCACATAAAAAGGTATGACTAATTATAGTCTTTTCACAAATTGCAAAACATGGTATAAAAGGCGAGTTTATGTTTCCAAACTTTTGTAGGGAAGTGTACCAGCTCATGCGTAAACCATGAATCAGTTCTGTGATTCTGAGATCTATAAAAACAAAAAAATCATATCTAGCTACAAGAAGTCAAGGATGTACACACTGTGTGTTTTCACTTTACAGGTACTGAATGAATCCGCAGAAATTGAGCTTAAATTGGGATTAATTTAACAGAGAGGGGGTTTCTTATCATGTTGAGGTGAATAATGAGATATTTCTCATTGGCTGACAGGTAGTTAGGTAGTAGATTCACAGGCACATATTGAATACCAATATCTCTCTTCTATGTCCTCAATTCCCATATAGCAACCCATCCCTTGCTTATACTATAGTTCTCTCATTTGTATGTTTGTTTTTGTTGTTGTTTTGACAGTTATGATGCAATATTATTCAAATGGATTAGGAGGTGAAGGGTTTCATATCACTCCTTGGAATATGTTTTTGCCTGACAAAATGAGTTAAAAGTGGTCAATCTGTGATAAATAGACAACTTTAATGCTTGGTATATGCATATAATCTAACATGTAGTTAGCTTCATAATCACAGTACATTGTCTAATAAGGGAGACCATACAGCCATATGGGATCACCTGTTTGTGGGTTCAAGACACGTTTACTTGTTGAGGGTTTAAAGAATGTTTTCCTGTTGAGGGTTTCTATAGATTTTTGTACTTGTTGAGGGTTTGTAGAAAATTTTTACATGTTAAGGATTTCATGAAAATGTTCACTTGTTGTGGGTTTCAAGAAAATGTTTATTTGTTGAGGATTTAAATTTTTTTTTACTTGTTGAAGGTTTTAAGAAAAGAAAATGTTTACTTGTTGAGCATTTTAAGAAAATGTTAAATATACACTGTACTGATGGTTTCAAGAGAATATTTACCGATTTGAGGCTTTCTCTTAATGAGAATATTGGATGAGTTGGTTACATAATATCATCTTTATCAAACAACAAACAAACATCTGTTACAAGAAACCATAAAACGTCCATGAACATAATACAGAAACAAATAATCAGATCATTTATCTTTCCCTATGAAATATCTTTCAAGGTGGTCATGCATATTTCCCACTTTTCTCCGTAAAATTTGAATGAACTTTGTGATTTTCTTGCATTTCTATAGAATTTAGAGTGTTGGCTACATGCCTGTTTACTTTATTCCTTGCTGATTCCACTTTCTCCCGCATTATTTTTCATTTCAAACCGATTACTATGTAATTTGTCTCACAAGTGATAATGCCTCCTCACTGTCTGCTGAATAGCTTGCAAAAATTGATTTCTTACTAAGTTGCATCACTAGGTGAGAGCTGCAACAAATACAAACAACAAGGAATAATATCAAACAAGCTCAAATATTTGAAGAACAAACAAATCAATATGTTTACAGATGTGTGTATTAAAATTAACCACAATAACTTTGATACAAGGCATTAACATGCAAAATGTCACCACCTGCCATTTGTTACAGATGCAAAATGTCGAATGCCAGATGCAACCTCCATCACCAAAAATGATACGTAGTGAAAAAAAAACGGCGAAAAAAACTATATGTAGGCACTAGATACATTTTTATAGAAACTAATTTTGTGATATTAATATGATCTTTGTTAATCAAATTCAAGATTTCCATATTATGATTTATTGATTCCATAACTGAAGGGTTAATAGCACACTTAATGTCAGATGAAAAATAAATCATTGTTTTACAAAATAAATAATTCTCCTTATAATGTTGAGACTAATGACTTGGAAAAATCATCTCTAAATCATCAAGATATGTTTGAAAACTCTGGCTCTGATGAAATGTTTGAAAACTCTCTTTGATAACCGTTTGCATTCATTGACTTCACTTCTTAAAAGAGAGCTTCATCTTCACTCCTTCAGTTTACAATAAATCTCTGATCTCACCAAGCTCATCAGAGTCCGTTGTCGATATACGGACGACTTTGCATATGGTCATTTCCTCTGACATCATCGCATAGTTAAAGAGCACGTATTTAGCATGTGTTCCTTCCACTTCACTAAATTGTTGAGAAAGAATCAGCATGGTAGATTTGAAATGATTTATACTCCGGGGTGTCACAGGCACCAATCTTTGGGGCGGGGTTGCTAAACTGTATACTAAGCAGAGGGTAGTTTTATAACTAGACTCTTTGCGCAGGGTACTCTTAGATGAAATGTTGGCTCTGATGAAATGTTTGAAAACACCTATGCAATGTTATGAAAACACTGAAAGTAGAAACATTAATAAGTGAAAGCACTGGGATAACAAATTAATTTTGTAGCCATTTCAATTTGTTTTGACTTGATTGAAGTTTGTATCTATAAACATTTCTAATTCTTGGCCTATATTTTTCTATAACAAGTCAAAGCTATTCAAGACATCAAATCAAATAGTTTTGCTACATTTTACATCTATCTTATAATTTATTTATTTATTTTTTATTTATTTGACAATCACTTTTATATCAGTGGCACTCAAAGGTGCGTAAATATAAAATATGAACAAACAAGCAAATTACACATCATCCAAGATTTTTGAAAATATGAAGGCATTACAACTTTTTGCAACTACAAGGATAAAAGTTGATTTGATGTCAAGGAAAAATCCACCCCAAATAACAGATCAGTCAACATCTTTGTACAATCAATTCTAGGAAGAAAATGTGCTGATTTATTACTTAAAGATGGAACACTTAAGAACACCAGGAAGGGATACATTCATCCAATCATTTTGAAGAAAACTGCTGAACTTGCTTCAAAGCATATTCTATCTTATTAAATGCGGAGCCAAAAAATCTTCACAGAATATAAGAATTAAGAAACGTAGATTATTTTTAATCTTGCAGAATTGTTATAATATCTTTTCTGTAAAGTTGTATCCTGAACCTAGAGCCTGCAGTAAAAATACATCAAAGCAATCATAGTTCAATTTTTGCACAATAATATTCAAATAAGTCAATTTACAGAAACTTTATAAAGTTTAGAATTTCCGAATCAGTTTTTGTAACCATGGTAATAATGATATCAAAGTAAGATAAGAGAACAATGCATGTGAGAGGTTACATCCCCTGATGGTCCACCCCCTTTTCCCCCTGGTCCATTCAGGACAGAAACAACTAAGATAACCCATGTTTAAATATTTATTCTTTCCATGTCTTA